ATGAACAAAATCCTCTTGTAGGTATGGAGAATTGATTGAAAAACTTTCCATTGGGTAGATCACTGATTTACCCTTTCAGATTACAAAGTATGGCTCCAGTGGTGAGAGGATCGGTACAAGTAAAACACCTGTTTGTTTGGTATGGTGAGATCCAGCCTCATAGCACCAGCAGGAGCATCTCCAGTGAGGCATCAGGAAAAACTTGGGCACCATACTTGTTCTGTCTTCTACCATTTTTCTGAGCTCTGCAGTTGCTCTGGGACTGAAGTCTTTCAACATATTGGAGATAGCAAGAACGGCAGATGCTGGAGTTAGTCAATACAGTGTGGAGCTGGAGAAACACAGGTCAGGCAGCATCAGAGGAGCAGGACTGATGAAGGGTGCTCTGATGCTGCCTGACCTGCGTTCCTCCAACTCGGCACCGCATTGACTCTTTCAACATATTGCTGGCCTCCTTTCAGAGACATTGTGAGCCTTACTTTTTGGCTCCCTGGTCTGCCTAATTTGCCCTTGAATGCTGAGTCTGGAATCACAAAGGCTGGATGGCACATTTCCTTCCCTAAAGGGCATTGCCAAAAAAAATCTGGTTTTTTAAATCATAAATGTTAGTCACTTTTATTGGGACTGATAATCCAAATGTGGGCTTGGAAAATGGCATTTGAGTTTAATATTAAAAAGATCTGGAATTAAAAGCCAGTCTAGTGGCAAACCCAAGATTAATTGAGTGCAAAATTTTGATGTGAATATACAAACTGTTATAGCTCCATTGGCTTTATCAAAGTCAAGATTCAAAACTCCGAACATTAAGATCAAAATTGCAGACAAACTGGAGTTAATGCAGGAAACTTCAGGCTGCTGCAGCAGAAGCCAAGCTTGATGTGATTAAGGTGAATGCACAGTCTTGGTGATTAGTGTCACCTGATGTGTGAGCAACAAGGAGTTGGATTGGTGATGTGTACTGACTAAAACTTAGCACAATGGCTTTGATTTTGTTAGTATTGGATTGGAAAAAGCCAGTACAACTTGTACAGGTCTAAATAATGCAGGATGAAAATCAAAGTGGAGAATATTGAATTATCATCATAGGAAGCCATAATCAAACTGTAATCCTCTAACTAAGATCATATTTGAACTGTTTTGTCTACTTGTTTAAGATCAAAGCAGAAGACATTTGCGCAGAGACAATGATTGAGTCATTTTTAGTTATGAATACTGTAAAGACTGGAAAGATTTGAAAATGTACATTTGGACACATTGCTAAATTGCATGAAGTGAATGAAGACAAACTTAAGACTAACCTAAAGTTGTTCTTCCATGAATGATGTTTGCAACAGCATCTTGGATGGAGTAATAAAAGTACAATCCCTGAAGTTATTGAAGAATAAAATTAAATGGACTTCACTAACTACCCGTTTCATAGTGTGTAGTGGAGTAGTCACAACAGCTGGGCATTTAAATTGAGCCAATAGTGACAAGAAAAATTATTAGGTCCTTAGTGAAAACCCAATCAATGTCCTTTTCAAGGAAATCTGATGCCCTGTCTAGGCTATATATGCCACCATACTTTTGGCTCTGTGGTTCTCTGTTGCCTCTCCTTGAAAATGACCTTGTCAGATACTCAGCTGTATAAATCTCTATGAAAAGATTAGAATGAAGTCGGAGGCAGAAGTTATAGTGAGCTGAACTGTAGGACAGTACAGTAGCTGAGTAGTTAGCGCAGCTGCCTCACTGCCAGGGACCCAGGTTAAATTTCAGCCTTGGCTGATTATGTGGTGTGTGCATCTTCTCCCCATGTCTGTGTGGGCATCTGCTGAGTTCTCCAGTTTCCTCCTCCAGTCCAAAGATGTGCAGGTTAAGCAGCTTGGCCATGCTAAATGACCCCCTAGTGTCCAGGGATGTGCAGTCTAAGTGGCTTAGCCATGGTAAAAATGTGGCTTTACGGGCATAGGGTGGCTCTTTCCACACTAGGGATTCAATGAACTGCCACTACGAGCTCTCTTTTACTATCAGTAAAGAGAGCATGACTAAAATTGGGAGAGCTGCCCCACAGCCTAGACAAGGAATAGATTGACTGATGCAGAAATAGACTTGACACAAATTGGGGAGGTAAAGTTCTGTCTCCAGAGAGAACATTTTCCCAAAGTGCAGCATAGCACTACCATCATATGAAAATAGGGAAATGTTCAGAACTGAGAGCCATGCAAACTGGATATCCGTGAGACATTCTGATCATGCAACAACAAAATTATATTGTCAACCTTCCCACTACCATTATGCCAGGGGAACAAGCACTTTTTCAATGGGGAGTGTAAGAGAGTATGCCAGGAACCGTACTAATTACATCTTAAAAATAAATTGCCAACTTGGTGACATTACAATATAGAAATACTTATGCTAAATAGTGAGTGTAACATGCAGGAGAGAGCTAAATGCTCTCTCAACTAAGCCACAGAACAAAGTTCTGGCATCCTACCACATCCAGTTAAGGTTCATTGGTCATCCAATGACCACTCTTGCTCTTAGTTTTCTGGTATTCGATGTTTCTTGTTTTTCCAGAGCTAACAATTTAAATACGGTTTGCACCAAAAAATATAAAATGAGGAATTAAGGGTTTTTAAAAACATTAAACAATAAACTGCTATATAGCCAGAAATGGTTTGGAATGTACCACAATACTTTTGAGGAAACAGATTTATAAGATTTGAAACTGTACTTTCATAGAGATTATAACCATATGCTAATGTTTCTGCTTTTAAAATTTGATTTTTAAACATGTAACAATCTCATGGGTATAATATCAGATTCTATGTATTGGCTTTATTTTGTACACTAAAATATTTGAACTGTCAAATTACATATTTAATTAAACCACCTCCATTCTTGCTGCACATAGGACCCACCGTTTTAATTTGGTGTATGCTTTTAATAAAGATGTTAGGATCTCTGCTAGTGAATGCCATCTAATGTTGATTTGTATATTCCACGTAAGCAACTGCTAAGGCTGTGTTAAACTGATTGCTCTTACCAAAATCTTTTGAGTCTCATGAAACAAGTATTGTGGATGCTGGAGATCTGAAATCAAACAGTATTGGAAAAACGCAGCAGGTCTGGCCACACGTGGACACAGTGTGTTAATATTTTGAGTCCGATATGCTTCAGAAGAGGCAGGATTTTAAGGTAGTGGAAGAAAGCTTAATTTGTTTGCTTGTGTAAGGTTTTATGATCACCTGCTGAATTAACCAGACAGACAATCTGGTAGTTTTATCAGTTGATCCAGAAATAATAATTATAAAAATTATTATAAAAAAAGTGATCATTAATATATTTGAGAACATCATTCCCATTTAGCTTTTCGGCCTTAAACTTTATTTCCAGAAGGTAAATGTTGCCCAAGTCCACACAGCCACTCTTAACACCTCCTCACCACCACTCTCTCCCCCTCCCCCTGCCAACCAACCAAGGTCCTATGAAGGTTACCTTTGGAAAACAATGGTAGATAACTTCAGTTCAACAAAGGTGACTTTGGAAGGTCTGGAAATTACTATTTTGGTTGTCTTGCTGTCTGTAATCTCTGCCCCACAGAGATGGGCAATCATTTGGTCAAATAAGGCCCTACTCAAGTCAGCTTTGTCTTCAGAATTCACTAGGATCTTTCTACCGTGAGCAGGACATGGCCACCTGGTGACCATAATGTGGAGGTGCCAGTTTTGGACTGGGGTGGATGAGGTCCGAAGTCACAAGACACAGGGTTTATTTGAAAACACAAGCTTTTGGAGCCTTCGTCCTCCAAGCGTTAGTGAGATAGGTAATATCAGACACAAATTTTATAAGTAAAATATCAAAAAGGTTCATCCCAATCAATAGTGTGACCCTTTGATCTTTTACTTATAAATTCTACCCCTCTCACTAACACCTGAAGGAGGACTGAGGTTCTGAAAGCATATGTTTTCAAATTAACCTGGTGACCAGTCAGCAGGTTTTTTTTTGGCCGGGGGGGGGGGGGGGGGGAGGAGATGGAGAAAGAGGAGGAAAGAGAACGTGGGTGCAATCAAACTTTCGGCTCCCCCCATTAACAGCCATTGAGGTCAGATCACAGTTTATCCTTCTGATCACTACAGAGCATTTCTCCTCACTGGCTCAGTGATACTGACGGCCATGCAGAGCTATAGGTCTCCTGCCTCAGGAACCCACCATCTTTAATTGGATGACAAATCCACAGATGGCCTCTTAATGTTACCCTCCAGAAGATTCCCACTCTTTGGGGGAAAAAAAAAGCACAATTTCCATTCTGTCAGGTATCCCACTTGGTTAGACAGTGAAGATTGGAGTATATTTTGCTGACATGAAGATGGCCAGTGTATGTTTTCCCAAAGTCACTTGCCTGTCTATTGGTTACCCACAGCTCATATGAAATTGTTGACCTCATTTACCAAGAAACTATGAATTACCTCCTTTGAGCACCACGTGTAGTGAATCAGTTTTTTTCCCCCTCAAACAGTTCAATATCTTAGTTCTTGTTACATAGTTCCAACCAGTTTCTGTGTATGTTAGGTCTCTGTGCCACCTAGTGGTGGGATTGTCAATAAATGCAGCCAATAGAGAAACCCAACTGTAATAGAGTCAAACAGAATGGAAACAGACCTTTTGGTCCAACCAGTCCATGCCAACCATAATCCCAAACTAAACTAGTCCCACCTGCTTAAATTTGCCCTATCAAACTCCAGATATTACTTAATTATGTACTTATCTAAATGTCTTTGACTTGCTTTGATTTATTATTGTACATGAATTTAGGTACAGTGAAAAGTTTTGTTTGGCAATGATTGTTTGAAGAGTGTGCATGTGTGTCTGCAATATTACAACAGTCCCTGGAAACAACTCAGTTATTATATTCTTGGGTAAGATACTGAAATGATCACACAAACAACTGTACCATTAACAGAAGAGGACAAAATAAGATCAACAACCAAACAAACGAAGTATTTGTTCATGCCAAGAAAGATAGTTTAAAACTTTAATTCTACTTGAAGGCTACAATGAATAAAAGCATTAAACTTTATGTTACAAAAATTAAACACTTGGCAGAAAAATTAATGCATTAAAGTTATTTTCTTCCTCAGGTGCTGGTTGCCTGAATTCTGAAAGGTGGTGGGTGGTGGGGAAGAAAAGTGGAGACACACGTCAACAGGGAAAGAGTGCAAAATTAGTGGGAATATCAAGGGCAGCGGTTGTGCTAAATAAAAATTTCTAGAGAAATTTTTAAAAATGCCTACATAAAATATCATCTTTAAAGTTATACAGATTTCCTTGGAAGTTTTTAAAATCATTTAAAATAATTAGGTTAATGAGCATAAAAGAAATTTCACAGTATACCCCATGCTTCTCACAGCCAAGAAAATTCCAAGTTCAATGCACGTGTTGAGCTGTCTGTTTTCAACGATGCTCACTACAATTGATTCAGCATTAGGAAGATAATTTAATTTTAAAATGTTCCTGCACATGATCACTATTCTTTGTACCCACCCCTTCTCTCGTGTGGAAGCAGAACTGCATTTATACACTTTGGTTACTGGCCAGATTACCAAATAAAGTCTTTGACAGTAACTGACTCTATTCTAAGTCAGTGTATTCATAGGAGGAGAAAATATGTAAGAAAGGCATCTGTTTGATGTTACAGTGCTTTTTGCAGTAATCTTAGTACCTGAAATGAGGAATCATGCCAGCGGCCAGCTGAACATAATGGCCCAACTGGTGCACTGGATGCTAGTTCGCATCCTTCCCAAAATGAAATGATTCCCTTATTTGCAGGAAATCCAAACTCTTGTATGGATCTGCTAAAGTTGAACCACACATTTCTGAAGCCTATTCCCCCTACCTCTACACTATGGTGTTTGTTTTAAGCAACCAAGATTATCTGCACCATTTCAGAAAATTACATCCAAACTTATGAAAATACAAATTCCAGCTATTTACAAAATAAAATTTATGTAAATTTGTTGCTAGAGAAATATAGAAATCTGACCTGCAAGGTTTAAAAGGACCAGTAAAGTACGTTTACATTATTAGATGAAACTTGATGACTTAGACCACTGGATAAATTTGAAGTTGACTTCACAAGGGCATTGCTACATCTTGGAATAGTGCCTTCTATAAATTTCCAGTAAAAATAAAACATTAATAATGAACTTCTACCTTATCCTTCTTTATAACAAGGTTACCTTTTTTAAAAAGGTAACCTTGAGTTTGTCTTGCATTGATCATATTCTGTATTTCTCCAGCATCCATTGCTTTTTTAAAATTCACATATTCTGTAGCAATGACTCAAATACATTTGTGAGATTTTTAAAAGTGGTTCTGTTGCTTGGACTGTGTTCCCAACACCTCTTCATATGATAGTAAATCTAAGAAAAGTAAGATAACAAAAGGAAGTTAGAAACTTTCTGGATGAAAACTGAATATCATCTTCCTTTTGAACCAAGAACTCAGACACAATAATCAAGCTGATACTTGAGTGCTTCAGTGATAGAACCAAAGATGCTGTCTTTCAGCTTAGGCACTAAATAGAAATCTCAGATATGGCAGATCCCATGTCACTATTTAAGAACAATTAAGGGAGTTTTCCTGGTGTTTGCCAGGACTTCTCTTTCAGCTAATTACAATAAAAACAGTTTAGCTGATTATTTGCTTTTTTGCTGTTACGGAAACTGGTTATTTGCCAGTTGGCCATTATTTGTCTACGGCAATGTGTACATGACTGTTATGCTTGCAGAGAGCATAGGTACAACAGGCCGATCTTTCAAAACATTGGTTATAAATATTCTGGGTAGAGATCAGCATTTGTTTCTCATCTTTCATGACCAAAAAGGAAGGCCAATAATAATTGATCTCAGAGTGGTAGCATGAGCACCAACATAGCAACAAAATGACAGGTATTTCCTACAAGTTACTGATTCTCTTTTATAATGAGCCACAGACAATACGATATTACATTTTCTGTTATGTATTATAATGAGACACAGACAATAAGACATTTTCTGTTATGTATTATTTGATGTTGCTCAATTGTAAGTTTTTTCTCCACAATAATGGTATTGAAATATATAAGCTAAAATTAGTTCAGACTGGAGTACTGTGTCAATAATAAAGTTTACATTAGTTTTACCTCATCAGGGCAATTAACTGGACAGGGCAAACGCTTGCCTTCTTCTAGTACCCGAACAAGCCTTGTGACAGTCATCTGACCTTGAGTTGGACCAATCAATTTCAGGAACATCTGAGAAAATGAAAACAATATACAATTTCAGAGATGCTTATGGACATGGGTAATTCATAAATGGAAATGCTGGTGGACATGCAGTCACTTACATTCATTGGACTATAATCAGACTCGCAGCATGTTAGCAGTTCATACAAAGTAACACCAAAGGACCACACGTCTGAAGCAATGTAGAACTTGCAATGAATCAAACATTCAGGTGCGTACCTACAGAAACAAATCCAAGAATTGTATTGAGTCATTCACATGGCTAGGAGAGCACCTTTGATACCCTAGAAATCTGTACTTTAAAAATTAAAAATAGAAATCATCAAAAACATGCCTATTGCTTTTCAAAGTATGGGATGTTCATACTAGACTATGGAACATTGTCCTTTCACTTTGATCACTAACTGTTAAAAACAGGTATTTCTAGGCTAGAGTAGTCAGTGACATTATCTCTAGTTTCCCCCACTGTCCACTCTGTACCATCGCCCCACTCAAACCATATTTCTTTATTTTTTCTTCCAACTATAAAAGCCATAGTAGATTGTTGGTTAGAGATGGCTTTATGGCTATATCTTGTGTAGCAGTCATTGCTTGCTCAATACTTCTGTGGCTAAATACCACTGAATATTAGCTGTTCACATATCCTTTTTTCTGCATGTGGATAATATGGGTAACAAGGAACCCTGTTGCCCATCAGGTTGCTCACTGACATCTTGCCCCGTTGTTATAAGAGTCTACAAGTTGCATGATACAGATGTGCACTGCATTTTGCCTGATATGACATATGATCCTCAGATGGCTAGATAGGTTTAAAAAAGTTTCATGACCCAGTAATCAATGAGAATGGCCCCATTGTTGTTCACGTTGTTCTACCGCAGATGGATTAGGGTTAGGCTACAGTTGTATGACAATCCCTAAGAAAAGCAAGTGTTTGGCAATGCATGGGAGGAAGGGACAGGAAATAAAAATGGGCCTCCTTTGCTAAGTAAAGGAAGGATTGTGGGTTAGTATGTAGCTTCTGAATGAGAAGCTCTAGATTCAAGTTCTTCCCCGAGTTGTTAGCCATGGAAGAGGCGGGATGAAAATCCTGTGTGGTTGATTACAAGGCATTATCATTGCCTCTGGGGGAGTTTTGGAAGAGTGGCATTGATATTGGAAGTGGTTGTCTGGCTGAACACAGAGGATAACAAGTTAGTCACCCTTTGAGTTATTTCCTGACATCAACCAGATGTCTGATTCAGGACAACGAAGTACCCATCATGCCAGAAGGCCATCAGTAAAACAGTGGCAGCCTCCCATTGACAGGGCAGGAAGACATCACAACCATAGTTGAAAGTCTCTATTCCAAAAGGTATTTGCAACTTTGATGGTGGCATCAACTATCGTGGGGTGGGTGGGGGATGGAGCTGGTGGTTTCCCTCTGATCTCTGAAAGCACTAAACTCATTTGTCCTCCATACCCAACTGATTAGTGGCTGTAGGTACAGGCACTACCCTACCTCCTTCAGCAGCTCTCGTCCTTCTCAGAGGGTCTGCCAATCTTTGCCAGCTGGAAGGCCCCCAGTGACTTAAAATTTGGGAGCCTGCCTTTCAGTCTCAATCAGACAATCAGGTTGCTTCCTTCAAAATCACCTCAGGATTGTATTGCCAAGATTTTAAAGGTCCTGATCAGGCATGATAGTGGAGCCAATTCCAAGACTCTGCCCCAATGTCCAAAAGTCTCTATATCGTGCAGACCATCGGAAAGGGTTACCTGTCAACCCTTCTCAACTCAAGTAGAGAAAAAGGCTAGCTTCAACTCTTACCAAAACACAGGACTGTCCAAATCATCTTGCACTTTATAATAGTCTTTATTCGTCTGGATGGCTTTAGTTAGTCCAAAGTCTCCAATTTTGACCCGGTTTTCGTTTTCAACAAGGACATTTCTTGCAGCTAAATCTCGATGAACATACTGCCGAGATCCCAGATACTCCATTCCCTGAAACAATAATTTGCAACAATCAACATTCCATGTAAATACCATTCCCTTCAAGTAAATACACCATTTAAAGAACTTCTTACATGGCCCTGGTCTCCAGATTTCTCACTGTAATTGGCAGACCCACCCCACCAGTGTTCCTTTCATTTGGTCTCACTCTGAGGTGATTCACCTTACTCATTTTTGTTTCTTTTACTTCCCTTCTCTGCTACCATTTCCCATGGGCTTGTTCTATACATCTCCTCACACATTTCAAAACAAATCATTAGTTCTAAAAATTATCACCAATTCTGTTTCCTTAGCTTATCATCAAGAAGGTCTGCAGATTTATTCCAATGTCCCTGCTATTGGCTGAGTGATATTACAATAGGGAGTTGCATTGTATAATTCTGTGGTTGAATGACTGAAAACAAAAGAGGCTGTGACTGCAGATGAACTAGTGTGTTGACAATCTATGTGTCAGTGAATTGGCAGACCGGAGACAGAATATGCGCACTAAGTGGAAAGAAATAGACAAGTTAACATAACTTCTAAATATGACTTTTGGTCAACAATGTTTATTAAAGATCAAAATGGTTCTCTCCCTCAAGGTAACAGAATGTGATATTGATAAGGAAGTGATTAGCTGATCTTAGCAGGGAGTACTGATGCCAGAAGATCTGTGCTTCTCGTGTATGCGCTTATGTTGAAAAGTGGAAGTGGGGATGCTGGGATGTCAGGATTGAAACAGCTTTTATGATTTCACCACTGAAGCAAAAGAAAGACTTAAAAAAAACAACTTTTACTTTTTAACAATTATAGAAATAACCAGAGTATGAAGTACTGAGTACGCTCAGTGATCAAGCTCTATAAATTATTTATTATATAATTATAAATTATAGTAATGGAAATTTATTCTTTGGTCTAGGTGTAGTCAATGTAGAATCATAGGATCCCTAATGTTCAGACACAGGCCATTTGACCCAACAAGTCTGCACCAACCTCCGAAGAGCATCTCCTCCCCTCCACCCCAGCCCAATCGCCATAACCCCATATTGTTACCATGGCTGAGCCATCTACCCTACACATTTTTGGACTGAGGGAGTAAGATGGAGCACCCATGTAGAAGCAGGGAGAACATGCAAACTCTACACACACATTTGCCCAAAGACTGGAATCAAACCCAGGTCCCTAGCACTGTGAGGCAGCAGCACTAACCACTGAGCCACCGTGCCTGTAATCCGTGTTCTTCACTAAAAGGAACAAAGTTTGTGCTGCTGTACAATTTGGTACACAATCAGTTTACCTTACAAATCTGCAGTGCATATCGAATTTGGCTTTTTAAAGAAACTTTCTGTTTGTGTCGTGGAAGGTATTCTTTCAAGCTTCCAGCAGGAAGATATTCCATGATCAGCTTCATCCCCCTTCCACCTGGAACAGATCAGACAGAGGAAAATGTAGTTTTAAAACTACTGAATTTGTAGGAAACCATACAAGAAAAGGCAATGTGGCCCACTAAATCTGATCATTCAGCAGATCCTATGCAATCCTATCCGACAATGGTTTCACCAAAGTAAATCAAAGGGGGATTTTACAACTTATATTACATGTTCTTGACTTCTGTAGTCTTCCATAGAATAATTTACTGTACCAGCTTAACAGGAAATCAAATACAGTTCAAGGCTGTTTTATAAATCTTCCCGTATTCCAAAATTACTTCCTTTTGCTTCTTCGGAACTTGAATTCTTTGAGGGGGTGTACATTTTATTGGCTTCTAACACAATGTTTAAGTGGCCATTGATTGGTACCTCATGATATCAAACACAGATTTGTAACCATTCACTTGAACGTCCACCAGTGTCTGGTCAGCCTCAACTACTGCCAAACCAGCAGAGTGCCAAGTTGTAATAAAAACAGAATTCTAGATGACAGGTCACAGACCTGAAACATTAACTCGGTTTCTCCATGGATGCCACCTGTTTACCCAGCAATTATCATCTTTTCAGATTTTCATCAGCCACAATATTTTGCTGTAATGCATGTGTGTTAAAGTATGCAATACATGGAAATAGAGTGTGAAATGAAGACAATCACATTGTTACTGTTAACCTGTCTAATTGCCACCAAGTGGAAATTTAAAAATAATCCGTGCGGCTTTTTCATCCTAAATCACTTTGTTGATTTTCTACCATTATAATGCTATATTTTTAAGCAACAATAAAAACTGATTGCACAATCACTTGGCACATCAGAGCACAAAACATATCAACATTGAAAGTCAGGCAGGATCAATATCATCACAATGCTGAATTCCTGTACTGAGGTGTGATGTTGAGCACAAGCCACATGATTGACAAGAGGACGGGATATGCACTTCCTCAGGCACATTTTTCTGAGTAGCATTGACAGAAGTTTAGGAGACCTACTCTCTCAGTCAGTGCATTGTAAAGACTGCGTCTTTTCATTTTCTATTTAAAAAAAAACTAGACTGAAATGAGAAATAACTATTTTAAAACAGGCAGCAGTTCAAGAAAGTTCCTTACCATCACCTCAAAGGCAAGTAGAGACAGGCAATAAAGGGTGGTTGCATTTTTGAAAAGGAAGTAACCTGACTTCCATTGTAAATTGTTCGAACAAGCAAAGATTGAAGTCAGAGTTGCCAACGATTTGGAGCGGAGTGTGCAGCTGCAGCTTTTGCTGGTAACAAGTTCAATGGTCCATGGACTAGTGAGCAGTTACCAATGATAGACCTTTTTGCTTGCTAACAACTGTGAGATTGATTCTCGGGTAACTGAACAGCGTGGAGGCGGGGAGAAGTTAAAGAGGGAGAAGTGTTTGGTTCTTCCCAACTCAGTAGCAGCCTCTTCAAGGTCAAAGCTCACTGTAAACCTGAAGAAAACCGTTGATCATTCTTGCAAGAGTTATAAATTGTGCCTTTTAACTGATAAGTTAGAGATTTTTTACTGACTTAACTGCCTTGCATCTCTTACCAACCAGTGGAAATATCCACAGAAGGATGACTGAAGCAACTTGCTGGCCAAAGGAAGAGTCACAGGATCATCGAAACAACTGAACTTGGAACAAGGACTACTGAACTACTTTTTCTGTTTATTCCCCTCTGTCAATGACCTATTTTACCCTGTTTGTCTGTAAGGGGGTATTTACAAGGGGATTAAAGTTTTAATCACTATTTGCTGGTTTATAATGGTTTACCTTGAGCGAAAGTCGAATTACTTGTAATAAATAATGATTCTTGTTCAGTACAGAAACCTGGTATGCTCTCAACGTAGGTCTAAAACTCAGGTAAATTGGGGAAACTTTGCTTAAAAGTTAAAAATTTTATAATGTATGATGACTTTGGTCTGAATTTCCAGTGTGTTACCCGAGTGAGTTGTAACAGGATGTCTTGGGGAGATTCTATAATGTTTAATAAGATATATATATAATACAGACTAAAGACAGAGGACAGCATGTTTTCAGAAGCAAATAAATCTTCAGTGATTCACTGAATGACTTCACAATCAATGGTTTAAATGATTCCTAACAAAAATCTAGAAACAACAAAAAATTGTATTCCTGTAGCCCCTTTAAAATGGTAAAGGTGAGCCACACATGAAGATATTAGAACAAAAAGGGGTAGGCTTTAAGGAAGAGTGAAGAGGAGAGTTTTAGGGAGGGAATTCCACAGTTTATGACTTAAGCAGCTGATAATGCAGCCACCAATAATCACTGTTGCCAGGAAACAAATTGTAAAAATTCTACCGATTCTCCTGTAGGCAACATCTGCTGCTATAATACAGATCAGCAGTCTGTCAGCGACTGACCAAGTAGCTATTTGTACGTCTAGGAGTTTGGAAACTCAATCAAACTCCATATGAAAATTTCAGGAAGTGTCAGCATATAGCAGTTAGGAACACTGGCTGACATTTCCACTTCCTTAGCATAAAGTCACTAGCACCAATTGTGGAACAATTTCCGAGATTAATTTAGCTAGCTGGATCCAAACTGGTGATTGAACCCAAAAAGTTCTTGGTCTGTAGGTTCATTACTGTGCATGTACTATAATTATCAAGCAAGCATTTAGGAAAGGTCAAGGCAGAATTAATATAAAATCACAATTATTCTTTACAGAATTCATTTCTAAAAAATGAAAGAGAAAATCAAATAATGAGGATTTACCTTCCTCAGTGCATATTCCTTTATACTTCACTATATTTTCATGATAGAGAGTCTTTAGAATTTCAACTTCTCTTTTGAGATCTGCTTTGTGTTCTTCACTGCTATCTGGTTTTAAAGATTTTACAGCAACAAGTTCCCCTGTGTTGTCACCTTCTGGGTCATAGCGACAGAGCTCAACTTTTCCAAAATGGCCCTTTAAAAATTAAAACCAAAAGAACAGCTTTACCAAATCTCCAACTTCAGTGGAAATAAAATGTTTTATTGAACAGTTTATACCAAGACAGAGTGATAGGGGAGCTTCACAGGAAGGCAATCTTGAATTCACATCTCAGCCATCAAATATCCGCTCAGTTTTTGATTAAACATGGAAGATGTGTCAGGCTACCTTTTTCTTTAGATAAAACAATCTCTTTTGAAATTCCCAGTGTTATTCCTTTTTTGTGGTCCTTGCTTCATAGAAGAATGATCTTGGATGAATATTTCTCTATGACAACTGTCAGTGCTGTTTTAATACAGCCAATCTAACAATAAACAAACTCAGATTGCTGGCTCGTGATCCCCACAAAGATATCCACATCAGGGGATTTTAAAAAGTACACTTTTGATCATAGAATATAAATGTCCCAGTCACAAAGAATATGACTTCTGATGCTAAATAATTTAAAATAAGTCAATTAGGTTCAAACTTTACAACAAAGTTAACTGCATATTAAATGACAGTGTTGATAACTTCTAATTATTACAAAGTGTGTGCAATCTGAAAAAAGTCACTGAATTTATCAGGCTCCTTCATTACAATGTGCCACATACAATTCTGTGCTTACTGGATTTTATGCAAATTATCACTTTCCTCCTGGCTCCCAAAATAAGTCAAGCAACACTCCTGAATACCTATCTAACTGTACGTCATATATTACATATTTTTGACTATTGGCTTCCTTTGAAAGACAGTTCCCTGATCTAGTAGTTTCGAACTTAAGTAGGTTTCACATAGCTTTGAATCATTCTGTTAATTACTGCATTTACGTTGACTTTTAATGTTCATCCCATCCAAATATTTAACTATATCTTTCAAAAAAGGAATTATTCAACATTCATTTAAATGAGAGTCTAATCCAAGTTTATTACTGAAGAAAAGTGTAGGTTAATGTTTGTTAATTCACGTTATCACAAACCTGTTAGCATCTACATTACCCGTTATTCATAAAATTTGAAGCAAAAAAAGTCAATACATCAAGACACAATTCACTATATAATAGCGTCATAGTTGTTTTCTTTCCCTATCTGAAAACTTTGGACTGTTTACTCACCTCAGTCTTCCCTTCTACCAAAAAACCCATGGGTATCCAAGTATCAAATTTTGTATAAGCTAATCAATATTTAATTTTTCTCCCCCCAGTTTTGGTCAATCTTGATGATTCTCTGCAGTATGGCCTTTAAAATTTTGCTGATTAATTCAAAAGCAACATTATTTCTTGGTACAGTGTGCTAAAATATGTGCAAATAAACTTAGCTGCTTACCTCACCCAGATCCCGTATCCTTCGAAGGAACCTTTTTTCAAAGTGAGTTGGATCAATTTCTGCCTTTGGTTTTTCTTCTGGAATTATGTTTGGATCTGACCAGAAATATAGAATAAAATCAAAAATAAAAGATCAGGTTGCAGCTTATTGGTTTCCTCTGGTATCTTTATGGCGGCACCAGTAACTGTTTACTGACATAAATCAATCCCAGGCAAAATCCTGTTCAGGTTTCTGCTATGCTGAAACACACAGCAGTGGACAATGACTTGTGTCTGTGCCTGTGATCCCTCCCAAAGGTGAAATGATTACAGTCATACCACTGAGTTAATTACCTGATCAAAGAAAAATAATTCTGTACAGGAACAAGAAAGAACCTAGATATGGAAGATTGGACAATTCTTCCTCCCTCTTCTGCCAGTTCTTTTCTTAAGAAGGAAAAGAACAGAAATCCCATTGAATTTCAGTCAACATCCAAATGCAAGGTAGGGATGAGAGAAGATCCCGAAGCACTTGAAGGGACAGTATTTCAAGACCAAATCAAAAGGGACTCAGATCTGAAAATGTATGCAGTCATATATTGGGTTACAAAGATACACTTCAGACGAGATGCAGAATTTTCTTTCCCCTGCCATTACAGTCTCTTACTCTGTTCTTGCAACTTGTTGATGTCTCTCATGATAGCCCTGAAGAATGGTCGCTCTGGTGGATTGTAGGTCATGCACTGTTGCATTAATTCAGCCAGTTCCTTACAGGATGAGGGGGGGGTGAGTTTACACCGAGTCTCGTAGAACCTCTCTTTCTATATCATAAACAAACAGGAAAATATTATAATAATGTGCGCATTGCATATTTAGGTACAACAAAACATGCAGAATATCACATGGAAAGAGCAGCTCAAAAATGAAATAAAGTGGGTGGGATAGCAATTTTATGGATTGAAATACTGGAAACTGTAGAAGGGAAATTTGAAGAGTTTTTCTTCCTTCTTTTCATGTTGCATAAAATTGTCAAAGTTGTAGTAATCACCAGTGAAAACAATTAAGCCTCCTTTCTAAAAAAAAAAGTATAAGTGCACCCAGTGTCACTGAGCTAAAATCCTGGAACTCTCTTCCTAACAGCTCTATGCGTGTATCTACTGCAAAGACTGCAGCAGTTCAAGAACACAGTTCAAGGGCAATTAGGATTGGACAATAATTGCTGGCCTTCCCAATGCTACCCACAACCCAAGAAGAAATAAGAAAAAATTGAAAAGCCACAGATAAGACTCCATATTATATGCATTAACCGGACTCTTTCCTCCCATCTCATCTTCATGATACTTTCCAGTATGCTGCCCATAAAGTGACATTATTTTCTTTCAAAATTCAATTTTAAAAAGAAAATAAACTGGCCTGTTTGACTTTTTCTAACTGTTAATGAAACGCAAGTGAGCTAATTAGTTAGTTTCAAAATTCACTGACTTTGACAAATGACACAAGAATACAAACTAAAAGGTGCACTTTCAAACTCCATCCCAGTATTGCTCAGTTTCTGATGTTTCTCTAAGGCTACAGCAGGAGCCTAATCAGAACAATATACACTCTAAGTCACTGTCACAGAAATGTATTAAAAAACATGAATTTTACCACAATAAAGCTTTTGAAATGTTTGCTGGTGAATTTTTACCTACAAATGATTCTAAAAAAGACCTTTGATTAAAAATTGCTAGAAGCTGAGAGCAAGAATGTTCCTCAGTATAGGCCAGGACAGAGCAACCCATTTGATTGGCACCACATCCACAAACACCCACCACCGACACTCAATAGCAGAAGTACGTACTATTTACAAGATGCACTGCAGAAATTCAAAGTGCCTTATACTGCACCTTCCAAACCCACAACAGTTCCATTTAGGACAAAGGCAGCAGACACATTGCAACACCACAACCTGCAAGTTCCCCTCCCCTAGGCAATCAACATCCTGACTTGGAAATATATCACGGTTCCTTCACCGTCACTTGGTCAAAATCCTGTAATTCTCTCCCTAAAGGCTTTGTGGATGAACCTCCACTACGTGGACTGTAGCAGTTCAAGAAGCCAACTCACAAACACCTTCTCAAGGGCAACTAGGGGCGGACAATAAATGCTGGGCAGCCACTTTCCATGATTAAATAAAAGAATTGTTGAATGACTTGCACTAACATCTTGAGAAATGATATGCATAGCACATACTCAGACTTCATAATCTAAAGGAGAGGCTGAATCCTCCCCTTTGACAGCATGTGGGGATCCCAATTATCAGCATTTGTTGCCCAATTCAAATTGCTCTGGAGAAGGTGACAGGTGAGCCATCTTTTTGAACCACCGTAGGCCGTAAGATGCAAGTACAGCCATAAGATTGGTAAGAAAGGAGGAATCCCAGAATGTACTGACGGTGAAGGAACAGCAACATAGCTCCAGGGCAGGGTATTGTAATGCTTGGCCGAGAACGTGCAGGTGTTCTGATGAATCTGCTGCCATTGTCCTTTAAGGTGGTAGGAATCACAGCTTTGGAAAGTGCTGTCAAAAGGAGCCTTCGTGAGTTGTTGCAATGCTTCTTGTAGATGGTACACACACCTGTCACTTTGCATCAGTGAAGGAAGTGAATATCCAATCAAATTTAATCTTGTTATTGTGAAAAGTGTTTTTTTACATCTTTACAATCTTATTTTAGACATAACAATTCCAGCTGCTGACAAAAAAAGTGCATTAAAAATGTCAAAAAGCATAGAGAACTTGAAGTCAGCAGTAATATTTCACAATGTCATAACGACAAGAGAGCATGTGGTATGTTACTTATAACTTAACAACCTCTGCCAAACTCCGATCTTTAAGGGGCACTTCTCCATTATAGCAGATGGCCCACAGGGTTGTCCCAAAGCTCCATTTGTCTGCAGCAATACTCAAGTTCTTGGAATCCTCTACACATTCTGGAGCAATCCATGGAACACGCTCAACACGCTCTGGAACAGTAACAAATTTAAAACTATGAAATACATGGAGAATGTGTTCCTACAGATCTCCTTCTTGACTGCAATTAAATGCTTGTAAAATTAAAAATTTTCTTTAAAGATGAGGATTGTTGAATTAGTTGCATCAGGGAATTTGTACTTGAATTTACAGAAAGCATTTGATAAAGTGTCACATCAAAGGTTATTGCAGAAAATATGATCTCATGGTGTAAGAGTAACATAGTCAAAGTTTGGGTAGCTGGCCGAAAGCAGAGAAAAGGCATAAATGGCTCATTATCTAATTGTTAACATGTGACAAGCGGGAGTCCAGCAGGGGTCTGTGGTGGGGTTCCAGCTTGTTACAATCTGAATCAATGACTTGTGGGAAAAGCAAAGGCTTGGTAGCTAAATTTGCAGATGATACAAAGATAGGTAGAAAAAGCAAATTGTGCAGTCAACCTAGGTGTTTGGAGGCAGATGTAGACAGGTTGAGTGAATGGACAAAAATCTGGCAGATGGTGCTTGATGTGGGAAAATGTGAAGTTGTTCACCTTGACAGTTGCACCTCCTAGTCGCGAACCATTTCAACTACCACCACCCCCCCCCCGCCCCCCAATTCCTCAGACGACATGTCCATCCTGGGCCTCCTGCAGTGCCACAACGATGCCACCCGAAGGTTGCAGGAACAGCAACTCATATTCCGCTTGGGAACCCTGCAGCCCAATGGTATCAATGTGGATTTCACAAGTTTCAAAATCTCCCCTCCCTCTACCGCATCCCAAAACCAGTCCAGCTCGTCCCTGCCTCCCTAACCTGTTCTTCCTCCCACCTCAAGCCGCACCTCCATCTCCTACCGACCAACCTCATCCCGCCCCCTTGACCTGTCCGTCCTCCCTGGACTGACCTATCCCCTTCCTAACTCCCCACCTACACTCACCTTTACTGGCTCCATCCCCGCCTCTTCGACCTGTTTGTTTCCTCTCCACCTATCCTCTCCTCTATCCATCTTCTATCCGCCTCCCACTCTCTCCCTATTTATTTCAGAACCCCTTCCCCTCCCCCTTTTCTGATGAAGGGTCTAGGCCCGAAACGTCAGCCTCTCTGCTCCTATGATGCTGTTTGGCCTGCTGTGTTCATCCAGCCCTGCACCTCTATATATTCCTTTCTTTATTTTAGCTAAAAAGATGCCACGTTCCCTCCAGAATACATATCAAGATGCTCAATTTCAATTCTAAAATTGTTAAGTGAGGAAATTTGACGACTTTATGGAAGTAGTACCTTCTCTGGATAGCACTGTTATTGGAACACCTGGGTCACTCAGTTTGATGAACGGGCCTCCATCATTTTCAATTCCTTGCCTCGCCAGCAAAATATTTTTTGTACACACATTGCCATGCACTAAATTCTTGTCCTCCTGTTCACAAAAATGATCGCTGTTAGCTCAACATTGACACTAAAATTGAATGATATCAGCTTATTTCCACATGCATTAACTGGAAGAAAGTATGAAATGAGAAAAGGTTGATAAGTCTATCTGAAGTCTAGCTGTTCGATGTCATAATTCACTCCACAACATCCCAGCAGTAGGAACCATTTCTGGCTTTCAAAGGTATCAAACAACACTAAATAATATCCATCCATCCTCTGTCTCTACTATTTAAGGTTCAATGAAGGGTGTAGGACAGCATGCCAGAAGCAGCATCCAACATACCCAGAAGTGATAAATCAACCTTGTTGAAGCTACAAAACTAGAATACTTGAGCACCAAACAGCATAAGGGACAGGGTTAAGTAATTCCACAACCATGGATCAGATCTAAGCACTGAAACCTTGCCACATCCGGTTATAAATAGTGTTGAACAACTGAACTGCCTCACAGGAGGAAGGAGCTCCACCAATATCCCTATTCTTAATCACAGGGGAGTCTAGCATACCAATCCAAAAGAGAAGGCTGAATTTGCAACAATCTGCACCCAGAAGTGCCGTGCAGATGATCCACCTCAGTGGTCTCCAGAGGTCACCAGCATCATAGATGTCAATCTTCAACAATTCAACTCATTCCATGTGATATCAAGAAATGGATGAAGGCACTAAATACTGCAAAGGTTAAGGGTTCTGAAACATTTGGCCAGCAGTACTGACAACTTGTGTGCCTGAACCTGCTGTACATATAGCCAAGCTGTTCCAGTACAGTTACAACACTGGCACCCACCCAACAATGTAGAAAAATGTCCAGCTAAGTCCTATACACAAAAACCAGAACATATCTAATGCAGTCAAATATTGCCCAATCATTCTACTCTATTTTCAGTAAAATGATGGAAGTGCTATCAACAGTGTGATCGAGCAGCACTCGCTCAGCAGTAACCAACAAGTGTCACTCACTTTGGGTTTCACTGGAGCCACTCAGCTCCTGACAGCATTACCGCCTTAGTTCAAAGCTGTAAAGATGAAAAGAACTCTAGCAGGGAGGTGAGAGTGATTGCCCTTGACGTAAAGGCCACATTTCACTGAGGATAGCAGCAAGAAGCCTTAAGAGTCAATGCGAACCTGGGGAATATTCTGCACTGATTGGAGGCATACCTTGCAGAAAGGGCATTGCTGGAGATCAACCGTCTCAGTTCCAAGACATTTCTGCAGGAATTCTGCAGGAATTCCTCAGGGTAATGTCTTAGGCCCAACCATCTTCAGACGCTTCACATACGGTCAGAAATGGGGATGCTTGCACAATATTCAGCACCATTACCAACTCCTCAGTGAGCAAAGCAGTCCTTGTTCAAATACAACAAGACCTGGACAATATCCAGGTTTGGGCTTACAGCTGGAAAGTAAGATTCATGCCACACAAGTGTCTGGCAATGACCATCTCCAACAAAACAGAATCTGACCATCACCTTTTAACATTCAATGGCAACATCATCATCCTGGGGATTACCACTGACCAGAAACTGAATTGGACTCCCAACATCAATATTGTTGCTACAAGAACAGGTCAGAGACTAAGAATATTGCAGTCCGTAACTCACCTCCTGACTCCCCAAAGCCTGTCCACCATCTACAAGGCATGAGTCAGGAGTATGATGGAGTACTCCCCACTTGCCTGGATGGGTGCAGCTTCAACAACACTTGAGAAGCTTGACACCATTCAGGCCAAAAAACAGTCTACTTGATTGGCACCACATCCATAAACATCCACTCCCTCCACTGCTGGTACTCAGTAGCAGCAATGTGTACTATCTACAAGATGCACTGCACAAATTCACCAAGGATAACTCACAGTTCTGGCTTGGAAATACATCAATATTCCTGCACTGTTACTGAGGCAAAAATTGCAACTTGCTAACAGCATTGTGGGTGTACCTAGATCAAAAGGACTGCAGCAGTTCAAGAAGGCAGCTCAACACCACCTTCTCCACAGCAATTAGGGCTGAGCAATTAATGTGGGCCCAGCCAGTGATGTGTCATCCCATGAATAAATAAACAATAATAGCTTTCTGTCCCAACTATAGATTATACATGAGAAGGAAGTGTCATGTCCTATCAAACACAGGTACTACTGGAATTATTTAGACCATACTTTCCCTTTAGATGTTAGAGCAGTCAAGCAAATAGATGTTTTAACTAAGAAAATGTAGCAAATCTTACCAGATAGCTCAATGCACTCGCCAGCTGTTTCGCAACCAAAAATTTCCAGGGTGAGCTCTTTGAAAGATACTCACTCTTTCGATGCATAAATAAATCAAGTGGTCCAAACTCAACCAATTCTTCAATCATGATATCTACAAAAATGCGAAAAGCCAATGTTATTTTTAATCTCATGGCCATACTGCTCTGTTTGGTCTCCCTATTTATTAGAGAATGAAGCCAACAGACAGCTAAAGGGTTTCAGAGATAGTAGGAACTGCAGATGCTGGAGAATCTGAGATAACAAGGTGTAGAGCTTGATGAACACAGCAGGCCAAGCAGCATCAGAGGAGCAGGAAGGCTGACGTTTCGGGCCTAGACCCTTCTTCAGAAATGCGGGAGGGGAAGGGGGTTCTGCAATAAATAGGGAGAGAGGGGGAGGCAGATAGAAGATGGATAGAGGAGAAGATAGGTGGAGAAGAGACAGATAGGTCAAAGAGGCGGGGATGGAGCCAGTAAAGGTGAGTGTAGGTGGGGAGGTAGGGAGGAGATAGGTCAGTCCAGGGAGGACGGACAGGTCAAGCGGGTGGGATGAGGTTAGTAGGTAGGAGATGGGGGTGGCGCTTGAGGTGGGAGGAGGGGATAGGCGGGAGGAAGGACAGGTTAGGGAGGCGGGGACGAGCTGGGCTGGTTCTGGGATGCGGTAGGGGGAGGGGAGATTTTGAAGCTTGTGAAGTCCACATTGATACCATTGGGCTGCAGGGTTTCCAAGCAGAATATGAGTTGCTGTTCCTGCAACCTTCCATTGTAGACAGATAAAGGTTAAGTTTTATATTTGCACTTAATTCCTAAAGATTTATATGTTCAAGAGTAAAGCTTAGTTCATTATATACATTTTTTAAACAAGAGTGCTAAGTTAATATTTGTTGTATTGTTTAACTATTTTCAATATAGGGAGATGTTGAAGAAGTGATAATGTCACTTGACAAGTAATCCAGCGGTTTATGCTTCTGGTTTGGGGTATGTGTTCAAATCCCAGATTAGCAGCTGGAGGAATGTGAATTCAATCATTAAATCAGGAATTGAAAGCTAGTTTCAGAAATAGTAACCTTGAAACTATCATTGAATGCTGTAAAAACCCATTTTCACCAATATCCTTTTAGGGAAGGAAAACTGCTTTCCTTAGTAAAAACTGAAAGAACTGCGGATGCTGTAAATCAGGAACAAAAACAGAAGTTGCTGAAAAAGCTCAGCAGGTCTGGCAGCATCTGTGAAGAAAAAAATCAGAGTTAACGTTTCGGCTCCTAGTTCTGAGGAAGGGTCACCGGACCCGAAACGTTAACTGCTTTTTTCTTCACAGATGCTGCCAGACCTGCTGAGCTTTTCCAGCAACTGTGTTTTTGAAACTGCTTTCCTTTTCTGGTTTAGCTTACGGGTGACTCCAGAGCCATGGTAATGTGAGTGACTCCAAAATGGTTTCAGTTCAAGGGTAGGAAGGTCTGGGCAACAAATGGCAGCCTTGCATGGTGCAGGCCACCTTTTCCAATTGGATCAGTTTAGAACGGAAAGCTCCAGGCAACTGAATGATAATGGCCCCGACTTTCTGTTGACCAGTCTTTAATCCAGTGTAGGTGGGAGTTGCATAAGGGGACCCCACAGAATCCGATCATAACAGCTCAGAAGCAATTGAAAATTCTATTGGGTTTCATGGAATTAAGTAAAATAGTTACTCGAGAAAAATTAGGCCACTAAATATCTGGTCTAGCTCCGGACTAACTATTAAACTGACCTCATCCATTCCCAATTACACATCCCCTAGACAGTTACACCCCTCAGATACTGACCTGAACCACCAGCCCCCTTACCACCTATGCCCCACTTCCCAATCTGAAACCTCCCTCCCAACAGCACCCTGCCTCCCTTTCCCCTACTAGACCTGATTACTCTCACCCATCCCCAACCTATCGTCAACACTGCATCATTCACCTTGCAGCCTGGCACTCTACTCTCTTCCCACTTGCCATTCAATCCAGCTGCCATGCCACCTATTCCCTTTTCACCTGGCATTCTACCCTGGCACCCTTCCCTCATACTGACCGCAACTATCAAAGTGGCTGCCAGGACCTATAAATTCCAGAATACAGCAGCTGTCTGCTGGCTGAAGGGGGAATGTTGTCTTCCTTTGACAGTTCTATGTGACAGAAGTACTGCTTCACATTTCTGAAGCAACTTTAATCCGAATCTCCTCTGAGAATTGTAGAGCTCTCTTTGGTCATTTTAAAAAGAAGGGGTGGAGAATCTGCATGAGATTGTCACTCCTCAGAAAATCCAGGCCATTGAAACTCTGAACCAAGGTTTCTGTTCCTACAGTGACCATGTGCTCTAACTACCTGAACTGTTGCTGATCTTCCCCACTCCTGCTGCTATGTTTGGGCCCAGAGATCCTGAATGAGAGAACATCCAGTGTCTGTGCGCAAGCTAGACACCTCTGTGACCAGTGGGACTGGAACATAGAAATAAGGAGCAGGAGGAAAGCCATTTGTTTCCTTTGAGCCTGCTGCACCATTCATCATGATCCCTGCTCTCTCACCATACCCTTTGATTCCTTTAGCACTATGAACTACATCTAACTCCTCCTTGAAACTGTTCAATGTTTTGCCCTCGATTGCTTTCTTAGGCAGAGAGTTCCAGAGGCCCACCAGTCTACAGGTAAAGAAATATCTCATCTCAGGCCTAAATGGCCTGCCCAGTATCCTCAGACTGTGATCCCTCGTTCTAGACTGCTAGGTCATCAGGGACATGCATTTACCCTGTCTAGTCCTGTTACAATAAGAGAGGTTTCTATGATATCCACTCTTATTCTTCTAAAGCCCAGTGAATATAGTCCTAGCCAATCTGGTGTTTTCAGATGTCGGTACTGTCATCCCAGGAACTGTCTGCTCAACCTTTGTTGCACTCCTTCCACAGCTCATACATCCTTCCTCAGATAAGGTGATCAAAACTATGTAAAATATTCCAGGTAAAGGACTGAAATGCACTGGTTAACCAGGGAGCCAAATGATAACTTGATGATTTGTATTTTTAAACATAAATTTATATGATTTACTCTCGAGCTTCTGTGAATCTTTATGCCTCTTTAATAAGCTGGGCAGTGCAAACTTTATAAGGTAATGATGATCAATCACTGAAATCAACAAAATCTGTTGCTGTACTGCTCACCTACAGTACAGAAATGGTTTGTCAAGATGGACTGCAATGTGAAGCTAACAAATCATTGTTATAACACTTCTCTTGTTTCACAAACTCTTGAAACCAAACATCGCCTGCTGCTCAAATGTAGGATTTTAAGAGAAAATGGATGTTTTTAATGGGTAAAAAGTTAAGTATGCATCAGCTGATACAGGAACATTTTGAAACAGGCAGTCATCATGACTGCACGGATTGGCTGTATGTTGCTTTTAAAATCAACAGCCAAGTAAGCATAAGCTTAATCCACTTTTTCTTCCAAATTTCAGACCTTCTGTCCTCCAAGTAAAATAAAAGCAAAAATGAAACCAAAATACAGCCGATACTGGAGGTTTCTGAAATAAAAACAAAACAGCCAGAGAAACTCATTAGGTCTATCAGCATCTATGAAAAGAGAAACAGAGCTAATGTTTCGAATCCCGTTTGACACTTCTCTGAAAACCCCATGGGCTCTATTGACAGTCAATTGTAACAGAACAGGTAAGCATTAGATAAACGAACCTCCAAGCTTTTGCTGACTGTTTCAAAGGCAGCTATTTGCATTGAACACAATGTAATTAATAATATAAAGCAGCCAATGTGGTAGAACTTAGCCATCTGATTCTTTTTCTTTCGCTCTTTGGACAGTCTCTGAATTTTAGTTGAGACTAGGTTTTTCCCCTCCCCATCACCAGATTGAAAAGGATACCAAACTCCCAGCCTTGAGGATCATTATACAGTACCCAAGGCAGTTAGCTGTAACAGCTTGATTTGTGTTTAAAAAAAGAGCTGAGAAGATAAGTGCTTCTCTGATACAGTAAAGATCAATGATAAAGAATTGAGTTTAAAATATTAGACCACAGGACTTTGTATACTTTTAAAATTTGAATCTGATTAGTCTACAAGAGTACTGCACTTAGTGCAAAACCTAGTCAGTGCCAGTCTAGGCCTAGAGGTATGCAATTTACAAATCAAACTGTCTACTGACAAAGGTATGTCAATTATTTTGTGTTGCTACATCTCTAAGACCATGAAGTACAATAACTTAAACAATGAAGTGCTGCATCTAAATACATTTGCTGTGATACTTTATAGTGTTGGGGAGGAGGTGCATGTTGTCACACGGTAAAGTGCAGGATGGAGGTCCCTCCGCCATCTTGCCTCCCCCACCATGCCACACTCCCACAACCATTAAATTCCACCCTTCAGCTTTAAAACTTAATTACTTTTCTTATCTCAAAATTTGCTAGGTTGTTCTTGTGGAATGGAACAAGAGGCCATTTGGACATAAAAGTGACCACTTCCTTTTCAAGTCTAGTGCCATAGCTGCAATTTGCAAGCCTCTCTTCTGTTCTGCCACAAGCGTTTATCGCAGCCAAACCACAAAAGAATATTCCCTACATTTCCACTGTGAGATCTGTACATTTCTGCACAGTGACTAACTTCCGCCAAATGAGTGGGAATACCAAGATAGTTCCAATCTTGTCATTCAAACCAAAACCCTATACAATGAATGGGAACATAACTGTAGTGGTCATACTAAAAAACTAGTAATCTGGAATCAGGAGGTCGAATTCCACCATTGTGGCCTATATGCACTTTCTGATTGACAAGAAGTTTAAAATTGCCCTCTGAAATAGTCTACCTAGGTATTAACACCTATTAATACCTTCACCTGTCTGAGAGCGATTAAAAATAAATACTGGCAACAAATACTGGCCTTGCCATCAGTACCTACATGCTGTGAATGAATTTTTTTAAAACCTGGGTCAAGATCTAATACTGTATCAGAG